CATCTATTTATGCTGTGTATCATAACACCGCAATGCGAGTAGTACCAAGAACGAAGAGAGCATCTTAGTCTCCCTGCCTACTGTAAGCAGCATGCTTTAAGCTCCTCAAGTAGCTTCTCTTGAATTTATCATTGCTGCTAGATAATCTCCTTGTATCTTGCATGCTTCGACAATGCCTTCTCGATCATTGAGGAAACTCTATCATCACTGTGCGGGGTTGGAGAAGAATGGATCATGGTAGCACATGAGCTCTCATCTGAAGGTGGGAGGAAAACCTCCTCTACCCTAGGAATCTTGAGATGTTGGAGAAGATCCCACTCCAAAGTCTCTACTATAGCAAATGCCTCATAACACATCCAAAACTCTCGCTTAAGCATTTTGCATTTGAGATTTCCCTTGAGGCCAAAGATGAATGTAGTGATGCCATGAGGTTCATTTGTGATGAGGACACACTCCTTCTAGTAAAACCTAAACCACATCACATATTCCGGCACAGATTCACGTGCTCCTTGCCAAAAAACGAACAAGTCCATGAGTAAGCGATTTGGTGGTCACTGCTGATCAAAGTGACCTTAGAAAGATGCTTTGAATGTGGAGTTGTCAGCCATATCTACCTCCAAGAGTGTCTCTACCCATGTTTCTGCTCGGCTAGTGAGCGATCGCAAGAAGTCACAAAGTTTGTGATCATCCTCGATGATGCCATTTGACATGCAATATTGCTCAAAATGAGTGACATGTGTATTGGCAAAGATGTCGCCATTGCCAGATAAGTATGTCAAGTCGGTGCCTCGCTGTAGAATGTGGATTTATGTAGGAAGAGCCATGGATGGTGGACTCTCTGACTCGATATCTGTAATGAATGATGAATCCTCCTCATCAAAAAGAGTAGTTTGATAATCGAGCTCTCGTAAAAGGTGTGAAAAATATCCCCATACCCTAGGCACTGTATGGAAGTTTGCTAGTTGCCATCTCTAACTGGAACGAGTGTGAACTAGCATAAAATGTCCACTATGTAGTAGATGCCAGGTTGTGGAAAATACAACGCACAAAGAACTTTGACTTGTGTGAGAGCAAAGTATCTAAATGGGATAACTCCAAATAAAAGAGTATCCTCATGTAGATTTTCCCAAATAAAATCACTCTCACTCTTGCAAATGCCAATTTCTCACGACAAAAGAAAAAAATATTGCAAAGAAAAGGGGGAAAATAGAAAAAATTAAACTCCAATACTCAAAATGCCTAAGAGGAAAACATTTGCATGGAAATCTCTTGACTTTGCACACAAAAATAGGTGTGGATGGACTTGTTTAAAAGTTTATACTCAAACCAAGAGAATGAAACCAAAACCATGAGTTAAAATGCCTAAAATCTCAAAAAAAAATTGATTCAAACATTAAATTCTAGACAGTAAGAAGGAAAACAAAAGAAAATGCACTCCCTAGTACAAGAAACACTCATTTTTAACATTGGTAAAAGGTAATAACATGGCCGTAATGATTTCCATGAGAATAACACCTCAAATTCCCTCAAGATTAAGTTAGAACGGACGGATTAAGTTAGTCACGAACAGCAATCTTACAAGTTTGATTGGTGGCGACGTGCAGAAATTTAGTTTTTTTCTCATACAATGGTAACAACTTTGACTGTCTGGAAGGAGGTGGGCAAGCCTTTTCCCTTTTCATCCGCTTATGACCTTCTAGACCAAGTCAAATGGCTTTATACCATATGGAACAACTGGAGGTGCGTACATATTAGCTCCTGAGTTCTTGCTCTAACGTGGTGTCGTGGTGTCTAGAAAGTCGAACACCTTCGCTATCACCATCGTTACCCCACAGTCCAGCAGGAGATTTAAGGCAAAGCGTCCTTTATCAACGTGCACGTCTTCAAAGGCTTTGGAATTCTTCTAGTCTCATGTGATTTTGCTTTTTCCCAGAACCACTGGAGGTTCTTGTTAATAGTATGACTCTCATCATTGTTTTTTCTTGTTTCGTTCTTTTTATTTCACAGGTGGAGTTGCTAAACTCCCAGTGGATTGAAGATCGTTCATTTGGTCGGGTCGGTTCAAATTTACATGCTATGTGATGGTAATGCCTCTGGAGCAAACTATGTAAGATCTTATTTTCCTGAGCTGGATTTGTTTTTCCATTTTCTAATCAAGTTACGGGGACAAACTGATCAGGAATCCTTGCAAACGTACAAGAAGATCCACGATGTTAGAGACAAGTCTACAGATTGCAAATACTCGGCCTACATGGTAAAGTTCACGAGTTTTTCGGGGGATGCCTTGCCAAGCGGCCATGCCGCCAAGCCCTAGCGTGCTCTAGGTATCATCTTGTTGCAAGTCGGATCTCGGACCTTTCAGAGATTCAAACATTATGAACATTAAATCATCGTTTTTACAGCTAAATCAAAGAAAATGATATGAAAAAAACTATCACGAGTCTGAACTATTCTGCTGCTCGATCAAACTTGTCACTGCTCTTTAGCTGCTTCCACTTTTCTTTTTGAAGCTGCTGCCCCTACTCTGCTGGGCGAACTTAAAACTTCGATTTTTCAACCTGCTGCCCCTGCTTGGTTTAAGAGCTCCACCCTCATTTACATATTCTTCTGGCGGCCTCTTATGATCTGGACCAAGTTGGCAGTCAGACTATTTTCCAAATAGAAAAGAAACATAATCTCTCAAGGTTATTTACTCACAAGTTGGCCAGAATAAGCAGCTCCTTAGCGTAGTCTCTGAGATGTTTTATTTATTTAGTCTCGAAGAGACGGCCTCCAACGATCTGGACCAAGTTGGAGCTCAGAAGATATTCCACCAGGATTTGTTGCTGATACTAAAGGAGCTACCATCACAATTTGTGTGTCGCTGCAGCTTGCTTCTTCTGTTTAACAACACGGATGAAATGAATGGAAGAGGAAAAAACGAATGACTCTACGTACCCTCAGTCCACATTTCTCGATTGTAAAGGTGGCCATTGAACCTCTGAATCGCTTTGCACCAGCTTCCACGTTCCATGAAACTCGTCCGATCTTCTGTCTTTATGACTGTTGCTTCGTCTTAGAGTTTGCTCCAGCTCTTGTAGTCTCCGCATGTCAGGGGCGAACATCAGCCGTTTTTCAGTCTTTGTGAAGCCGAACCTCTGGCTCCACTGCCACAAGCAGTTTCTTCGAGTTTGAGATCATCTTGCCATCATCATCTTCTATCATCCAAGCACCTGTAAGAGTGATCCTGGACAGCATTGAAGCTCTCGTCCTGTTTCCATCAACTAGAGAGCTTTGTCTTTGATCCGTCTTGGCATCTCATCTTCTCCTTCACCTCGCTGTTCTCACGCCAACGTTTGATGGACTCTTCTCCACTCGGCTGGCTGACTGCTCCGATCTCGGGCACCGTCTCAGCGAGCTCCGCTTGAGAAGCCCAGATCTTGACAAAATTATCTGCTATCTCCCGATTGATCAAGATATCTCCGAAACTTTGGAGTCGAGGGAGGATATCTCCTCGAAGAGGTTGATCTTCTCTTGACTTAGAAGTGTGGAGACTGGTCTCTAGCGCTTTGGAGGCTTGCTACTGCTTCCCTGCGCTGCTCGAGCTGTCAGTACTTGGCTTGCACCTCTGTTCTGTATTTGACTCTCGAGAGCTGGTTACTTCTTGAACTTCCATTCTCGTTTCTTTGACGTGCTTAGAACCTCTGGCAGTTAGAAAATGCTTCCGCCACTTCAGGCCTTGATCGTGCTGAGAAGCTTGAGCGGAAGTATGCAAAAACACAGCTTCCTGCGAAGCCAGATGCTCCTTCTTGTCGCATGTAGCGTCCATCTGATCCGTCAAACCTCTGCTCTCACATCGGTTCTCCTCGGCTTGTCTTCTTCATCCTTCAGAGCTCCTCGCCCAAAGCTTTGCTTTGCATCTGGCACGTCTCTCTCTCCTCCAGCGCCTCGAGTCCCGTGATCCTCTCTATCAGCTGCCAGTTACTTGCTTCTCCAGCCTCGCCTTTGCGCTTCCAAACTCTGCCATCACGTGCTCTCGCCGAGAGCTCCACCTCGTGCAGCGGATTCGACTCCGTCAGCCATTATCCCCTGGGGCTTCTCCTTCAAGAACTCCTGTCCGAACACTTCCCTCATTCCACCAGATGACAGAGAACGTCTAGCGTAGTCTGTCTTATAGTCTCTGCAGCCATCCGAAACCCCAGTCACGAGCAGCTTCAGCTATATCGTCTTCTCGCCATCTTGCAGCCATCTGACACTGGTTTACGTCGTTCCTCGCTACTACCATGGACAGCCTTACCGCAGCAGGCGCTCCTGAATCATCTCCGTCCACTGGAAAGCCGATAAGATAGATCCCTCCTTGCTCCAGACACTGTAGAGTGTAGCCCAACTTGATCCATTGATCTTCTCTTGACTTAGAAGAGTGTGGAGGCGGGCTAGCCTGTTTAGATGCCGAAGTTTGATGGACTCTGCTGCACTTCCAGCCGACTGCTCCGCCTGGAGCCTCGTCAACCGCCGCTTTCGACTCTCCATCTCGGCCACCATCTTCCGAAACTTTCAATTCCAGTCGTTGATCTTCCCTTGACTTAGAGTGTGGAGACTGGTCTTTAGCTCAGACTTGACGCTTTAGTGACCTGCTACTGTGGTGCTCGACTTGCTTGGATATTTGGCCACAGCTCCGAGTTTTCCCGCTCCAACTTTTGGATTTGATTTCCCTTGAAGCAATCTGACACTGAGTTCTTTGCTGATACTTTCATCCGAGCGGCTGTACGAGCATTCCTGGACAGCCCTGACCCGTTTTCAAAGTCTCCGTCAACTAGAGAGCTCTACCAGATGACAGAGAACGTCGAGTGTAGTCTGTCTTATAGTCTCTGCAGCCCTCTCTGTGAATCCGAATACCCCCACCGTCACGAGCAGCTTCAGCTATATCATATTCTCGCTATCACCATCTCGTTGCAGTCGTTCCCTTGCTACTATTCCTTCAAGCTGTGAACAATATACCGCAGCAGTATCTCCTGTCTCATCTCCGTCGACTGGAAAGCTGATAAGATAGATCCCTCCTTGCTCCAGACACTGTAGAGTGTAGTCAAACTTGATCCATTGATCTTCTCTTGACTTAGAAGAGTGTGGAGGCTGGTCGCTGGCCTGTTTAGACGCCTGAAGTGTGATGGACTTCTCCGCCTGGAGCCCTGAGACACGGTTGTCACGCACTGCTTTCACGTCTTGGACAGTTGCAAATCTTTGGAGTCGAGTCCTCGAGAAGGTCGATCTTCTCTCGACTTAACTGGTCTATAGCTTTAGTGGCCTCCTCCTGTGCTGCTCAACTTGCTTGGAGATCCAACTTCTGGATTTGACTCTTGAGAGTTGGCTTCTCCGATGCTAGAGTCCGAGCACTGGCCTCCAGTTGACCAATCCTTGCAGCCAACTTCTCGAGCTCGGAGCCAACTTCATCTCTCGTTTCTTCGACGTGCTTAGAACAGTTTGCTCGTGTTCTCTTCTCAGGTAAACCCAGGGTCTAGTCGTCTTAGAGTTCGCTCCAGCCCGGCCGATCATCTTCTCGCCATCATGGTTCCGACAAAACAAACACTCATCGTTCACTTCAGCTCTCTACAACAAACACGGAAGTTATTAGCAAACGGCCATCTGGAATCTGGAAGGTATATCAAACTTACCTGTCTCCTCTTGAATTCGGCAACAAAATCTCTCCCCGCACGATCATATAGTTCTTTTGCCTCCTTCACGAAGACCACCTCGCCAGACTGAAGCTTCTTCCACGGTTTCCTCTCACTCGGGATCCTATCCAGCATTTTCTGGAGCCTCATCATCTTCCGCGCTCGCTTGATCCTCTCTCGGTCGCTGGATTTGCCGTTGAGCTCCTCGTAAAGCTGCTCGGTGAGTCTGATCAGAATCCGGAGCGCGCTAACACTCCAAGACTTTTCCTCGTGCTTCTCCTCTTCTGTTTCCTCGCGCTTTTCCTCTTCCAAGCTGCGGATCTTCTTCTCGGTTTTTCCCCTCTGGTTTAGCCACCGGTTTGCCTTGTGGAAAGCTTCGAGATACGCGAACTCAACATAGCCCCCTCGGCCATCGCTAAGATGGGTTTCACTCCGCCGTCGGGTGCCGTCGGGAAGAATGTCCTCCGCTGAGGAAGAGAAGCGAACCATCTTCGGCCTGGAACCTGCAAGTCCAGAAGGCCATCGTGAGTCACAGTAGAAGAAGAATGCGAGAAGCAAAAGGAACCATACCTGGACGACGACCCCCGGCTGGCAGTAGAATTGGCTTGGGTCGCTGCTCCTCCTGCTTGGGCTTGTCATTCTCCTGCTGCTTCATCTTCTCTTGATCGTCTTCCCGTTCCAGAGGCTGCTTGATCGGCTTGATCATCTGCTCCTCCTCTTGTTCCAGCTGCTGCTTCATCGGCTTCATCCGCTGCTCCTCCTCCTGTTCCTGCTCTTGCTTCATCGGCTTGATCGGCTTGATCGGCTGATTCGGCTGATTCTTCTCCTCTCGTTCCAGCTGCGGCTGCTCCTTGTGACCTTGCTCCTGTTTCACCTCGCGCCTGAGTTCCTTCGTCTCATGGGCTTCTTTCTCCTGCTCCTCCTCGCTCAGCTGCTCAGCTTTCTTCTCTTGCTCCTCCTCCTTCAGCTGCTTCTCGGCTTCCTTTTCCTCCTCTTCTTCCAGCTTCATCGGCTTCATCTGATCGGCTTCTTTCTCCTCCTCGTTCACCTGCTCGGCTTTCTTCTCTTCCTTCAGCTGCTCCGCTTTCTTCTCTTGATTCTCCTCTTCGTCCTCCTTCTCTTGTTCCGGCTTGATCGGCTTGATCAGCTCCTTGTGCCCTCGCTCCTGTCGTATCGCTTCTAAGACGATTTTCACCTCGTGCCTGAGTTCCTTCAACTTCAAGGCGGCGGCGTCCATGGCTTCTCCCGAGACGGCCTCACAGACACGATCTTGGACCTTCAGCTTCGAGGCCGCCGCGTCCATGGCTTCCGGGTGGACCTTGTTGTCGCCCTTGTGCGCCTTTTTTGGTCGAAAGAGAGACCACAAACCTGTGACGCATCCACTGCGCTCCTGCTCTGTTCGCGCCATAGCTTGCCCTTTGCAAAATGCCTTTAATGCCCTAACCCTTACTAAATCTATTTCACTTTAATGCGTTCGTTTACATTTCTCGGCAGCGCCCTGGCTCTTGAAACTCAGGCACGCTGGAACCAGCTCACAGGCTGCATCCCAGAAGATGTTTACACATTCTCATCTCTCAATATCTAGACTTGAGTCTGGAACAAGTCCCTGGAGCTGGTTTCTAATGCTTCCAGCTTGAGAGTGCTCATCAAACCAGCTACTGGATACCATCTGACCTCAGTAAACTTTCTAGAAGAAAACAAAGAAACGAGATGGTAGCTATAGTAAGTACAGTCTTTATGTGCTTTCTTTGTTGGTGAATGTTTAGATGCTTACCCTAGATGTGCCATTCTTAACATGCAAACTTCCTGACATGACAAAACTTGAAGAGCATTGAATTCACAAGGTAAGTGCTCTCTATCATTCTCCTTAAAGCTTATGCTTTACGTCATGCAGGAAAATGCAAGTAAATTTTGGTCATGTTTGCTGTTGAGCTGCATCTTGTTACCAAGCACACGTACTTCTGCCACCAATTTGCTTTTCGAAACTGTTGTATGACATTGAATTTAGCAGACACAAAACTTTTTATTTGTTCTTTTTTAGATACAACGTCTTATGAATCCATTCTGAGTTCATCGTCAAGCTCAGGTGGTTCAAAGGAAGGAGGAGAAGCTATTTTTAGTGATGGAGAGCATGTGGAGTTCAAGGACAATATTAGGGATGATGCTGTTGCTTATATGGTGGAAGAATCGTCATCAGATGGAGATCAAGATGCAGAGAAACTTATTTTCGGTCTCAAGGAGATATTTGATTTCAGCCATATCCCACTAAAGAAGCAATCTTGAATTCTGAATAAAGAAGAACAGTATTTCTATGTATTACAAACAATGCTTTATGAGGGATGCAAGTTGTTTAGCTTCCCAACTTCAACAACTTCAAATAATACACTGTTATGACCCAGCACTAAATAACAAAGACAAAGATGTTTAACCTTGCATAAACTATGTTATGCCTTCTCTTGAGGTTCCTTTAATTATTCTACATATAGTTGAGTTATCAAATAGTGATTAAAAGTCTCTTCCTTTAATCAGAATAGTCTTTTTTTTCATCTTTACTTTGAAAATTTTGCAACTTTTTAATATTCAACTTAATGCTAATAAAAGATTAACTATTCTTTTTTCTTTATTACTTATTCTTCAATTGTGAATAATCAGTTTTATAATATCCAAGTTCACCACAATGATGACATAAATTGGTGATGATCATAAATTTGGAATCTAACTTGCCACAACACTTGATACAATCCTTTCTACTAAGCAAAGAGCCCTTTAGGTAAATTATATACTATAAATTTGGAAAAATAAACAAATACCAATCATCCACTTTATACTCTAGATATGGATAATAATGAGAATTATAGCATTGCTATTGTCTCATTTATATGCGCTAGAAATGTTTAACAAACTTCGCTCCAAGTAGTTATAAGTAACCAAAAGGAACGACTTGAGAGATGATCCATAGGGGTTCAAATATAAAAAGAAAAGGCCCATGAAAAAAAGTGCACCCCCTTTTCCAATCAATTAAAGGTTTTGGGATATTTGGGGTTAAGTGTCCTTGGGTTTGAATAATACTGAGTTGGTTGGTGACCTCCCGGAAAGTCCAGATTCAAAAGTTTACAGTAGTGCAAAAATGGTAATCAAATATTAATCCCAGGTCCTAGCAACTCATAGCAATTGTAAAAGTAAACTCAACTCTATTGGTAATGTTAGATCATGACCATATATAATACTTTATATGGTAAAACACCCTATACCCCTATGATATACACATATTGAAGACATGAAAAATAACAATCCTAATCTTAATGTGATCATCCTTTTAAAGGTCCAATCAGCTATTTCACCAAATTATTCATTTGAGGATGATAAACACTTGTGAAAATGTGATATATCCTTAGTTATCCAAGTTCACCACAATGATGACATAAATTGGTGATGATCATAAATTTGGAATCTAATTTGCCACAACACTTGATACAATCCTTTCTACTAAGCAAAGAGCCCATTAGGTAAATGATACACTGTAAAATTGGGAAAATAAACAAATACCAATCATCCACTTTTGTAGTGCACTTGGTTTTTACCTCCTATCCTATGGTGATTTACCATAGGATAACACTATGAAGTGGAACCTAAACCCTCCATGTGCCATGTGTCATATGCCATGTGTCCAAAGGATAGTGGTGTGGAACCTGAGGTTCAAGGCCTTGGGCCACTAAACGAAGGAACAAATCCCAAACTACCAAGCATGGAGCTGAGTGACGGAACTGGACCACAAAGCAATTCCTAAGCATATAGCCAAAGGAGTGAAGGGACAGGAGCCTAGAGTGACTTGGAACAGTCTTAGAGCAACCAACATCCTAATGACAAGATCAGCATGCAAAATGGAGCCAAACGAAGTCTAATGCTATTTTGGAATATTGGTGGCCTAACATAAAGACATGGGTACTTCACCAGCTAGTATGGTGTGGAACTTGGGCTTAGACCTAAGCCAAATGCAAAACAAAAACAAGCATGTAAGTAAGAGTTAAACTATGCCTCAGGTTGATCGGCTATGCACGACCTACCCACTATCCCTACTATACATTTGGAACCCCCCATAACCTCCCTCCCCCCCCTTTGAGGAACACACGCTTTGGGCTTTCACCCCAAGCCTCCCTTAGTACCAGAAGTTAGTCTCTAGAACAAGTTTGAAACTTACTAAATATGGAATGTTTTTAGATTGAAAATTTGGATACGAGATGAACATCATTGTGTTCATGAGAATCTCTACATTCCGTAGATATGCCAAATAAGTAAATTTAGACACTTTTTATATAAATAGCATTTGAGACCAAAATGAGACTAACACAAAAGGTATGATAGCAAAGGTGTTTAGTAGACACGATAAGCTATCATCTAGCAATATTGAAGGACCAAGCTCAATATTGCACAGATTCTTAATACTCACAAATACAAGCCAATGACACAAGTTTCTCAAACTAGGCCAAAATTGGTCAATAACCATGCACTTAGATTGGATAAATATAAAGTAGGAACCCCTATGTGTTTCTTGCTGAGTATACTCAACTAGCCCAAGTGGGAACTAATAACGGGTCCAACAATACTGACCTCTTGCTATCGTGGCAGTAAGGAAATTGTGTTCGTAAGCACTAGTTGACAAGTAACTTTCGATACCCAAAATCACATTCGTGACAACTTTATACTCCACATAACATTACTATTATCTCATATATATGTGGCAGAAGTGTTTAACAAACTTTGCTCCAAGTAGTGCACGAATGGTCATCAAATATTAATCCCAGGTCCTAATATTATCAACTTATAGCAATCGTAAAAGTAAACTCAACTCTATTAGCAATGTTAGATCATGCTATTTCCATATTGAATTAGCAACACTTCTATTTCCATATTAAATTTACCAATCTTTTCATTGTGTAAACTAGCTATTCCATGTAAGGCAACTAGTCATCCACTCATACTGCAGTCCCACAGTGGATACCTTCGTTCGTGGATACTCTACTAAGAGGAAGGATGTACGCATGGATGCCCAATATGTACGATTTCAAATTTAGGAGTAGGAATATATGTTGCTCAAGGGTATATTATATTTTTAAGTAACCACTAATTAATAGGATTTGAACCCGTGCCATTTGCTCCGATACCACACTATCTTTCTCCCCTTAAACCAACTGGAAAAGGATGAAAGAACCCTTAGTGGCTATTTTATCCTTATTTATTCCTGAAAGTTCCAAGAATCCACAATAACAATATATCCAAATTTCATCCCATGATCACATGCATTACACTAGCAAAATTCTTCCACTTTAATAATGAAAAGACTGCAATATAATCACCTTTTAACAATGTCTAAAAACTATGCAAATACGCATAAATCTTTTTGAAAGTTTTGTTTTCATGGAGTAGTTCACCTCCATTAGTTGCAACATATGACTAATATACACAATAGAATTATATTAACCAAACACAATCATACTCTTTTGCAACAACACACCTTTGAGATAATGTCAAAAGCATTTACAAAAGGTTGAGTGTAGTTAAAATACTCAAAAACTAGAAAAATTGTCAACACATCTTTAAGATCTACGAATGTCTATTCCAATCCTAAATTAGATGAAAAATAATATGAACAACTTCATTAATGCTTGCAATGATAAAAAAGACAATAACATGAAAAAGATATTACACCTTGCCAAGAAAGTGTTGCATATTGTTCATGCACTTTGGAGTAGAGAACTTTATAACATCCACAAGTTTGTCAGAATCAATTTGTAAATTTTCATAAAAAATATAATACTCAAGATATATGCATTTTAACCGTATCAATGTCAAATTAACTTCCTATAGCTGATCCCAATGTTCTACAAACATTAGAAGTGTGTTCCTCCTATGTCCCCTTAAGGTGGATCAAGACATTATCAATCAAATCAATAGTCACCTTTAACATATTGTAAAGAATATCATCCAAAAAGTCTCCAAAGAATTATTCAATCTATACAGCATCATAAAAAATTCATATAAATTAAATGGGTTATAGAAAGTAATATTTAGAACATCCTCCTTACGTAAGCAACTAAATCACTTAACCACACATTTGACCATTTGGAGGAGTTTCATTCACCATTTTTATAAATTTTATTCCCATCTTAAGGACTTGCTAGCCTCATGAATGACTTGTATGCCACTCAACTTTTGCACTTGGTCCAAATGCTCCAAATGTCCAATCCCACAATAAACACCTAAAGATACCAATAACATATCATCCTATTATACTAAGGCTATATCCATTCATCTTTATTTAATTGGTAGCCTAGAACCACCTATACCACAATGTTGTCTCCCAAAGATTGGGCCATCTGTCCATAAGTAGTCATCTTATGACCACATTTT